CACCACACCCCACCCCGCAACCCGCCGCGCGTTCATTCGTGGAAACGTAAATAAACAGTGAAAATCGGTGTCTCCTGTTACTCAGCACCGAATAATACCGACACAAATTTATGGTGGGATTTTAATCAGAACTTTTGGGTATCAATCGCAAGGGATAGTGCTTGGTGGTTTCCAGCATATTTAGATATTCTTTGTAGGAGGTTAGTGCTCCGGTAGCTCAATGAGGTATTTTATTGGTATAAAGAAGATCAGGAAGAACAAGCCAGAACATAACAAGCCTTCAATTGTTTTTCGAAAATCGTCTGCTAAAACAATTGCAAAGCAGTCGATTTCCGAAAAACAGTTGAAGGCTTGTTATGTTGTGGCTTGTTCTTCCACACAAGTTTTATCAAAAATAACACCAAAATAAGGGCGTTTGAGATATTTTAGCGACTAGAGGCTTCTGCTTTGTTATGGTTCCGCCGAATGGGGTAAGGTGCTCATAAAATACCTCATTTCCACACACAAGTGGTAAGTTATTTTTCGACGCAGAGTGCGCGTTCTGTAAACTATGCTCACTATAAGCTTTGTTGAAAAGGTGTTATGGGTACGTGCAGTGTGCGAAATACTGTTGTAGGTCTTTTGCAAATGGGTGAATAACTGTGGTTGGGCTGTGGGCTTTCACAGTAAAATGAGGGTTTTAGCTCTAGCTATTGGTGTAATCCCTTAAACAATCAAACAATCAATGTGCGTTGCAGCTAATTTGCAGCTGTCCATTACTGTCGTAATAATTGTGGGAAAGGTATTTGGCAGATGTGCACAGTCTACAGTATGTGCAGAGGGATATGTTACGTTCACTTAATGCTTGAGACCAGTGCCAAATAAGTTATTTGAAAGACCATGGTCATTTAGAGTATGAGGCGATAGGCATTTAAAAGTGTGTTGTACGAGTCAATTATATGTAATTAATAGTTGATGATTGTTGAGTATTAAATGAAAGCAAGAATTCAATAAAAAAAAAATCGCTGAAAGTACTGTTTAATATGATTGCAGGAACTCGGCCCAGAAATGTTCTTCACATGAGCAAGAGAAGTCTATGGAGTCATTTTATCCAAAAGAATAGGTGAGTTGACATGACAGTAACCAACGCTGGTCCAATTTGTCTCTGTACAGACCCTATGATGAGCTTCCTTTCGTGTGCATCAAAGGGTGGTTTTTGATGTTTTTTGTGGTGCCTTGGTTCTTTGTTGTTGATTTTAATCCTCCTCTGCCAAAATCCAGGCTGATTTGTTATCATTGAAAATGCATTTTAAAAATCTTGTCAATTTGGAAAATTGCTGGAATTGGTTTGGATTGGTCAGGCAAACTCCCTTTTCAGTTGCCCTGTTTAAATATCATGGTGCCGACCCACTACAGCAGAGTTCTTAGCCAGTGCGCCTTAGGTAGCCTACCCGCCCATAGTTAGAGAGACCAGCTCTTGAAACTCAAGTTTCTGTGAACAGGAGTGGTGTCTGACAGAAGCAAAGGTAGTTTTGTAGTCCCTGGTTCACCCCTATCTATTCGAGCACTCCTCCGTCAAAAACCGGACCCATGCCATTGTAAATTTTGCCAAAAATGAAAAATTTGAAAATCGCTGGAAATGGTTGGGATTGGTCCTTTCAACCTCTGCGTCGAAGTTTCACGCCGCCGGTCCATTTCAAGTGAGTTACACCTGTTTTTCTAGGACCGGTTCGCCTGCGAGGTAGGCAGCCCATCTTACGCTGCCCGCCAGATTAGACCACCCTTAAAACGCAAGTTTCTGACTGAAACAAAAGTAGTTTTGTGGTCCCCTGGGTCACCCCTGTCGATTCGACTACTTTTCCGTCTAAATCCGGACCCATCAATTTCCACTAAAAGAATAAAGGCCTCGTAATTTTGCCCAAAAATGATAAAAATTAAAATCGCTGGAAATAGTTGGGATTCGGCAGACTGAA